AATTTTTAACTTCTTTCTTGGATATCGAATGCGTTTAAAAATAATCTTGGGTTTAGTAAAACCAGGAGTTTAAGCATTAATCTTTATATCCACCATTCTAAAGTTTTCAGCTCAGAGCTGGTTTTACTAAACCCAAGATTATTTTAAAACGCATTCGATATCCAATTGAAAGAAGTAATTGTTTGTTTTTAGTGCTGCAATATCACAGAGTGGGGATTCTACCTCTCCCTTCTGCTGTTCAAGTAAACACCCAGCACATTATGGATACAAGTAAGCTCACAGCCACCATTTTATTGGTTGGGTTTGGTATGATTTTAACAAGATGTTTCACTGGTAATCCTTATCACCCCAGATTAATCGCAATCTATCGCAAACTTTCCAGTGCATGCCATAATCGTACCTAGCTTTTGAAGTGCTAAATCATACCGGCATTGTAACTATTTGCTTTAAGGTATTCTAGTTTTCTAGAAATTGCAATTCTAGCAAATCATGTTTTGAGCAATCGTATCTGCAACATTGCATAATATATAATGATTGGTGAATGAAAACAAGAGAAAGAATGAGCGAATAAAAGTATAAATAAATGAAAAAGGCATCCATGGTTTGGGAAAACAAATCCATGGTTTGGGACAACAAATCCAGGGTTTGGGACTACAGATCCAGGGTTTGGGACAACAAATCCAGGGTTTGGGACAACAAATCATGGATTCATCGCTCGTAATTTTGGCTGTGATATCTGGATGGATGAGATGAAGGTGTTCACTGTGATATATGGATGGATGAGAGGAAGGTGTTCACTGTGATATATGGATGGATGAGAGGAAGGTGTTCACTGTGATATATGGATGGATGAGAGGAAGGTGTTCACTGTGATATATGGTTGGATGAGAGGAAGGTGTTTACAAATGATCATTGATTTTTAGAAAAGGGCAGGCATGAATGGGAAAAGTTACAACACTCATATATTTTCCAAAATACCAGGCCACCTTTCAGGACCTGAAAGTGCAATTTCTAGTGAACCTCCATCCAAAGATGACAACGCCCAATTCACAACGGTACCCTTAAAAGCTTTGTCTTATTAAGTATGTATTATGTATGACTTCTGCATTATTTTTCAGATAAATATTGCAAGGGTTCGATTGTGAGTGGGGCACTGCCAGCTTTGCATGGAGGGTCACTTGATATTCCACGTACAGTTCCTTTAATTTCTATATAGGTTAGTTGAGAAGCTGGGAATAAATCCTAAAGCTCCGATTGATGAAATACTTCTTCAACTTCAGGTAAATACAGGGTTTACCACAGAAAAAACAGAGGTTNCCTAATGTAACCGCAGCTTTACCAAACTATTATCTTTACCAAATCCTTAAGTAAAACATATATAGACTATTTTAAAGGCAGAACCTCAACGTATACCTTCTAATTCTCATATTTTTAAGGTCGTCATTTCAGTCTCATTCTTTGTGGGAAACCCTATATAAACGAACTCTAATATAACTATAAAGGAATAACTGGCACTGAGATCTTAACAACTCTTGTAGTTAGTCATCAGATTTTTAGACAGACTTGATTCAAAGGTGTCACAACGCATTGGCTTTTGTATTTACCTCATCAACTCACCAATACTTTTTTGTAGCCTCAGACATATGCATTTCCAAATGGCAAAGCGCTTGTTTCTAACTTAAAGGGAGTGTTCGCGAAAAATGAAAGGGGGTATAGACTTACTTCAAAAAATATTCGATGGTGATTGCTACTAATCTTACAATTCTATCTGTTGCGTCTGTAAGGAGAAAATTGTTAAAAACGACTCATACTGAAGACCGTAGCGTTCACAAGAAATCAGAAAGTTGCAATATCGACTAGGATATAACACCGAATATTTTTAGACGTTAGCCAATTCCCCCTTTAATTTTTCGAGAACACTCCCTTTAAGTTTAAGAGGCGTAATTGACAAAATACTGCTCGATTGTTGCGTGAGAGCGTTAACATCTTGGTTTGAAGTGCTGGAGTGATTTAAGACCTTGTAGCTCCTAAGTTTTCATTTTAGATTCAAGATTTAAGAATCAGATTCAATTTCTTTATATGCTGTTATTTGTAATGATTCAATTCTGGAGAAAATAAAATAATTTGATTTGATTTGATTTCAATTGCATAAAACTAACAAGAGCGTACTATTTTGAGTCTTATTTTGATATTTTATTTGAGAGCAAAACCCGGCATAGATAGCTGAAGAAACTTAATATACTTTGATGTTTGAAATAAATAGCCCAACAAAAAATATATATTTAATAAGAGAAAATTGGTTCTAAAGTCAAAACTCACTCGAGACTTTTAAATCGAAACTCTAACTAACCGAGCAATATACTCTCCAAAAACAATCGTTTTGAAATCCAAGATTTATATTTTTAGTGTTTCATTATTTTACCCAGTAGATGAACAACCCTACTGACCTTATCTATATAATAAAACAAGACATCGGTCCAGCCGTTTGGGCTGAATTTTTTGTGGACACTCATGGGTGGCCGGAAAGGGCCGGGGGGTTTGATAGGCTTAAAATTCAAATTTTTTTTCCACGGGCAACGCCGGGCGCTTTACCTAGTTTACGATAAATAAGAAGTAAAACAACAAATGTTCTGAGGGGGGGGGGCAGTTTCTCACACCTGCAATCTTCAATTACTCTTTTAAAACTAAAAAGACTATATATCTCCTTGTTGTTACCTCCCCCCCCTTCTCAAGCACACTAGATTCCATCCAAAAAGGTTTAGTTAAATGTTGTTATTTTAGAGACGGGATGCCCATGAAATCCAAGACCAAGGATATATGTTTGAAGAATTTGTCAGAGCACCACTTCCATTCAAGGTATATAGCTGTTCTATGTATATATTAGGTTCGTCTCTCTGTTTGCAGCGAATAAACGTTAAAACGCACGACTGAACCGAACAGCCCAAATTCGTTTCTAATATTTAATATGTATATACTATTCATTATATATCTAAATAGGCAAAACGTCATATATTTTCTCAAGTACATTTTTTTGTGTAGTAAAAAAAATAAATATTTTAGTTTCAGCAATTCTTCAAAACATTGTAATATATTTTGAATAAGCGAAGCCGAACTTAAAATGACCTCAATTTTCTATGAACACTGCATTTTTTGAAGAAAAACTTCAAACCTTGTCTCTCTTTTTTTGGGCAAAAATAGGAACAAAAATATGATTTAAATTACTCAGAAAGCTGAAATCAGTTTTCACAAACTATTGTCCTATTGAAATTATATTCTTGATATTAAAACGAAATACATACATAAATACATATATATATGTATATCTATGGATATATATATATATATATTAATGTGGTTAAACTTCTATATGATATCCAATTTTACATTTTCTTAAAATTGATAATTTTTCCTTGCGCAATTAAGCCGAAGACAATCCCTTTTAGGATTTAATAATTGGTGAATTAAATAAACCTCCGGACAGCACCTTTAAGGAATTAATAATTGGTGAATTAAATAAACCCCTGGACAGCCCCTTTAAGGATTTAATAATTGGTGAATTAAATAAACCCCCGGACAGCCCCTCTTAGGATTTAATAATTGGTGAATTAAATAAACCCCCGGACAGCACCTTTAAGGATTTAATAATTGGTGAATTAAATAAACCCCCGGATTTAATAATTGGTGAATTAAATAAACCCCGGACAGCCCATTTAAGGATTTAATAATTGGTGAATTAAATAAACCCCGGACAGCACCTTTAAGGATTTAATAATTGGTGAATTAAATAAACCCCCGGGCAGTGGGTAAGTGTATGCAGACACTAAAATATTTCTGGAATGTTCTTTAACGAGCGTTTAAATAACTTTACTGCCCCTTAAACCATAATTTACACAATACACAGCACTTAATTCACTAGGAATATATTTTGCAAGTTGTATTTTGTTTGTTATTTTCGGAACAAGCAAATAAATATACTAAAATTATTTTTAGGAAAAAGAAGGGGGAATAAGCCCAAAAAACTTTAATCTCCCTGTAAAAAATCTTAAGTATTTTGGTCATTTTAAAGTCAGAACCCTATTCGGGGTTTTTCTTGTGGGGGGTTCGTCTTCCAAATGCTTCAGCGGGGGACGCCTGTCTCCCTAATGTTCCATGGTTAGGTTCCAGGGAGTTCGTCCGCTAAGCGCTTATTCTTATATTTTTGCAACCAGAAGATGATGATTCGTGTTGTTTCAAACTATAATTCTGCATGATCAAAACAAAAATGAAAAGATTAAAAGTTAGAGTTTGAGAGAAGTAATCTGTTTTGTTATTTATTCAATCAATCAAGACATGAAAAAAACAATAGCCGTGTGGCGTGCATGTCTGATTCAGTATGGTACCCTTAAAAGCTATGTCTGATTAAGAATGGATCAGATAAAGGTTTAAAGGGTACTGTTGTGAATCGAACATGTTTTTTATTTTAGTTTTTTTTAAAATTGAGTGTCTCTTGAAAATTTAGTGTTTGTCCCTTTAATCAATAAACAATTAATCAATTAATAAATCAATTTATGAAGCCGATTGTGGATGGAGGACTTGTTCCCGATCCCTTTCTACCTGAAGAACCTATGGACCTCTTGAGAAAAGGAAATTATTATTATTATTATTAATTAATTTAACATTTATTACCATTATTATCATTTTTATTGTTATCATTATCATTACTATTATTTCAGGCAAGTTTAACAAAGTTCCCTTTATCACTGGAACTAATAAGGATGAGGGTCTTTTACTGAAGGTAAAATTTCTGAAAATTCACTTGAACATCCGCCATCTTTGATTTCAAAACCATTCTTCCAAATGTCCTCCATATTTGATTTCCAGAGCATTCTCTCAAACGTCCGCCATCTTTGATTTCCAGAACATTCTCCCAAACGTCCGCTATGTTTGATTTCAAAACCATTCTCCCAAATGTCCTCCATATTTGATTTCCAGAGCATTCTCCCAAACGTCCGCCATCTTTGATTTCCAGAACATTCTCCCAAATGTCCACTATCTTTGATTTCCAGAACTTGCTCCCAAATCTCCGCCATCTTTGATTTCCAGATCACTCTTTGGAATCTCCCACCATCTTTGATTTCCAGAACATTCTTCCAAATCTCTGCTTGATTTGCAGAACATTTTTACTTTCCGCCATATTTGATTTCCATAGCATTCTTTCTAACCTAGGCCTTTTATCTGGCTGCGCCTGGAGGAAAATCTAACTTTAAAACAGCCTGGGACAAATTCAACACTATTGGACCTCTTGCTTTCTTTGCCAAGTAAGTTTATCAAATTCTAGATAAGATAAACAGTACATCAAGTTTTTAAAGATTTGTCAACTAGTACTACTATAATCATATCTGAGTACACAGTTCCTGAACCATAGTACAGTAATATTTGTACTAAAGTAAACACTTCTAGTACTATACAACTATATTTATTTAAATGAGTAAACATGTTCTTATGTTAGTACACGAATTTAGGAATAACTATTTTCCAGGGAAAGAGATGAAGTTACAGCTGAAGAATCTAAAGCTTGCGAAAACTATAAAAAGAAATATTTTGGAGAAACTCCATTTTCACACCAGGGTAGAGGAGCGGAAGGTTTAGGTAGGATTTTAGGGGAATTTCAAGGATTTTAGAACCACCTAGAGGAATACAGAGGCATTCAAATGATTAAAGGATTATCTAAAAGAATACATTCCTGCAAACATTTTTTATTTCCAACCAATCGATGGCGAACATATAAATTCCAGAATTATTTACCCGACATCTTCGCCATCGCAAACTTTTTTTTGTTTTTGTTTTATACTGTAGAGAAGATGCTCACAGATAAAGCCTAGTTAACTAAAATTTTTCTTGAAATGATGTTTTCATCACAAACAAACTCAATTGTTCTTATAATTTCAGGAGATTCTTAAAATATAATTAATCCAAAACTTATCTTTGCTCTAAGTTTCTAACTATTTCTAACTAAGGAACTATACACTGGGAACCAGAGGATGTGCTGAAATTTTTTGTGGACACTCATGGGTGGCCGGGGGTTGTTAGGCTAAAAATTTTCGAAATTTTTCCCCGAATTCTTTTTTTTTCGAGGTTTCTTTTCCTTAAAATTTTTTTTTCCACAGGCAACGCCGGGCCCTTCAGCTAGTCTTTGTTAAAAATGATGAAAGGGATTATTATCTTTATTAAAGTTTATTTCGTAAATAACCTCACATAAAGTTTCTGTAATTATAAAAATTTACACATATTTTTAACATCACAAAAGATTGACATTATTTAACAGCACAATGAACGAAAACGATTGAAGAATTTTGAAGATTTCTTCTCATACAAATAGTCCAAAATTAAATATTTTATAAATTAATTAATATTTTCAATTAATTAGTGAAAATGTACGGGGATATGCTGTTTGCTGCTCCAACTGATAGAACTTCAAGGTAAGGATTTAAGGGATTGTACATGTAAATTAATAAGTGACCCTCGTTTAAAGATGCCTAATTCACAAGGGTTCCCTTTAAACCTTTTTTTTGAGTGAGAATGGAAATGATGAAAAGTTATCAAATATGTCCAATGGCTTTCTAGTCTCTGTTAAATAAATATATTTCTTTCTAGTCTCTGTTAAATAAATATATTTCTTTCTAGTCTCTGTTAAATAAATATATTTCTTTCTTGTCTCTGTTAAATAAATATATTTCTTTCTAGTCTCTGTTAAATAAATATATTTCTTTCTTGTCTCTGTTAAATAAATATATTTCTTTCTTGTCTCTGTTAAATAATTATATTTCTTTCTTGTCTCTGTTAAATAAATATATTTCTTTCTTGTCTCTGTTAAATAAATCCGAAAATTACTTTTACCTAGAACCCACATTTAAGAATTATTATTTTGCACAAGGATATCTCTAGACATTTTTACTCAGCAAAAGGTTTTAATGTTTCCCTAATTCAGGTGATTTAAACAAATCGGGTCAGACACTTGAAGTTTAATTTAAGAATTTTAAAATCAAATATTTTTCATCTGAATCTGAAAGAATCCTTAAAGAAATTAAGCGTAATGCAAAGTAAACCTCCATGTAAAGATGGCAATGCCCGATTCACAACGGTTACCTTGAAACGTTTATCTGATCAATAATATGGTGGATATTGTTGTTTTTACAAATTTAAATATTTTTAGTTCCGAGTCCAAATTTTATGAATTTGATCCGCGCGTCTTAAATCCGCCAAAAACCGGTTTCAATTGAGCGCCGGCTTAAATCTTGAAACATTGAATGCAATTTTAAGTGAACCCAACCATATTTGTGCCACGTATCAGATTTAAGTGAAACCAACCATGTTTGTGCCGCGTATCAGATTTAAGCCACGTCTCAAATTCTTTAAATTCGGCCTCTGACCAAGGTTTTAATGGTACTGTTGTGAATCAGGCATTGCCATCCCTGCATAGAAAGTCACTTAAAATTACGCTTATAGTCCCTTTAATAATGAATATTAATTAATTATAAAAATAATAATGAATTGAAGTTAGGGGAGTTATTAATTAGTTCAGTCTGATGATATGAAAATATAATGTGATTAACAAAACTGCATTGTATAACAAAATATAGAAATGTTTTAAAGTTTCCAATTCTCACTCTTCAATAACTTTTCAAGATGTAAATTTAAAAAGTATTCAATAAAAATCTTTAAGATAATAAAATGCTGTTTGGCATATTTTTTTAATTTATGGTACAGGGTATCCTGCAAAACATGAGACTAGCAAGACGATTTGAATGGCGTCTTTCATTTTTGAATTATTCGTGACTTTCGTCGTCAACCTACTTAACATGTATTGATTTTGAAACAATAACCAAAAAATCTCATGGTCCTGACATTTCCAAAATGTGGTCTGCCTTTTTTGTGCTGTCCATATTAATGATATTATTAAGAATTTCGTTCAGATTTCAATTTTGTTAGATAAAAGAAAATTGCCGAAGTTTGAAATAAAAAATTTCATATCTCGACTCTCCAGTAATTATGAAAGAAGACAACGTTTTGGAAATTCCAGGACTATTTTGAGATGTTTAACTCTAGAAGTTTACTTCTAAAATTTAGGCGGACAAATACTTATAGAAAATTATATTATAAAACAAAGACGACCTTCAAGTCGTCTTGCCACTGTAGTGTTTAGTGGGACACCCTGTATATTAGCTGCATAATATAGATGCAAAACATTTCCCAAAGTATTTGGTTTCTCATTTTAATCATATTTTGATATTTATTTAACAAAAGATTTATAGTTGGGAGATATTTTTTGTCTATTTACAAACTTAATGTTTCTGCCTTTAGTTCAGTATTTTAATTATTTTACATGATTTAGCATGAAAAACGGTAAAATTTCACTTGTAGGTAACCAAAAATGCAGGAAAAATGACTTATTGAATTCCGTACAATCTTTTCTGAAGTCTCATCTTTTTTGGCTAACCCTGGAACTAAATATTTATTTTTATGTTGACTGAATCGTCCTGGGTATTGTGAAGAAATATGAATATGGAAATCCACGAATCGTGTTCTGCAGTTTTATTAAATTCAAGAAAAACTTTACCAATACAGATGGTTTTGATTTCTCCCCCACCCCCCCATCAAAGTAGATTTTGTGACGGCTTCTTACATAAAACTCTGATTGAACTTCTCAATTTCAATTGTAAAAGATAAAAGTAAAAATGTCAATGAAAATCCCCTTTCTAAGCATTATTAGTTATTCTGTGTAAATGTGGCTGGGTATGGATGGTATCAAACGGAGTTCTAGCTTTTTTGCACATCTTTACAATAAAACAAGACATTCGTATATTTATGTTGCGTATAGCTGGTCAAACGGCTGGACCGATTGTGCTGAAATTTTTTGTGGACACTCATGGGTGGCCGGGGGTTGTTATAGGCTAAAAAAAATTCGTTATTTTTTTCATTTTTTTCAATAATTTACTCTTTTTACCGCTGACACTGTTTGATATTGTTGCCTACCCTATCTGGAGGTTTGGATTAAGAATGCTGATGCTTGGATTAGGTTTAGACCTATTTAGACCAAGGTAAACATGGTACTCAACCTATTCCATATCACTGCTACAGTGGTTGATCAGATGACGTCTCCAATTGTGTACGTCCGAATTATCTATCTATTAGAGGCATGTTATTAGAACGGACATTGTCCATACGTTCGGTGGAAAAGAACGGGCTATGAGTAGGTTTATGACAAGCACTACAAAAATGTAATTTTCAATCTCAAGAATAAGTAATTGTATATACAGGTTGTCCCAATAAATGTGGTTATTGATAGAATTGAATTAGCAATTATAATATTGTAATAAGCACTTTTTCTAACTTGACTAATACAGTGAGAACCAGAAAATCAGGATTAGGAAGATGACTTTTACACTCAAGTTATGACTTTAGATAGTTAAATTAACATAAGACACGGCAATTGTGCAGTGTAAACAGACCCGTTTCACTTAAAGGGACAGTAAAGGAAAAATGAAAGGGGGTATAGGCTGAAAGCTAATCACTTTAGCTCTTGATCAGTGATTTAAGTTTCAGATTTTTAAAATTTTACATATATGAATTTTCGTATAATTTTAACACAGTTTTATATCAGTTTCTCGAGACAGGAACATCAGATAAAACTTTCATGGGTCGCGATCAAGAGCTAAAGTAATTAGCTTTCAGCCTATCCCCCCTTTCATTTTTCCTTTACTGTCCCTTTAATAAGCAATTTAATAAGTTACTAGTAAAACTATAGAGTAATAAAACGAAGAGGTAAAGCTTAGCTCAGATGTACACAACCGATCTCTCTATTAATTAATTAATAGAGTGGTCGGTTGTATACATCACGATATGTTTACGTATCTAACGCTGTACACTTGTATATAGAGTGATCGTATTTCTAAGAGGTGTTTTTGTGTAGATATTTGAATATTAGTATTGATAATTAGATACATCATCGAATTCTCTTTAAATTAAGAAAGAAAATCTAAAAATTGGTCAATTCCATAAAATCCCCCTTAGAAATACGATCACTCTTTATACAAGTGTACAGTGTCAGATACGTAAAACTATTTCTATACAACGTCAAATACACTTCAGTTTTGATTTAATATCGTCTTGGTATTCTCCAGTTTTCTGGTTCTCATTGTATAAAAAATGTTTAGTGAAGGTGTTTGCCACGGAGACGAACTATTTCTTCTGTTTAAATTAAATGCTATTCCAATGGACCCAGCAAATGCGAAGGACAAACAGGTAGCAGGAAGATTAAAAACACAAGAAAATGATGCATCATTTTCTAGACTTTGAAGTTTTGCAACCCCTCGGCCTTTGGGTTTTCATTTCTAGATTATACTTTTTTCAGCTCTAGCTAGACATGTACATTTAAACTAAGTTTATGGTCTGTCAGAATTAGAAACTGTTGTCTGAAAATGAATAAATTTCTTTTTTAAAGATTATGGGATTCCACAAAGGTAAACCGAATAATCAGCGAAATTTGTTATTTTCATTACTTCATAATGTTACAAAAAGCTAGCAGATAGATCACCAACAAAAAAGCTTAGATTGTTAACGGTCGGAGGGGGCACGAAGCGTAAAATTATTCGGTTGTTATTTAACCCCGAGAAAAACTCTTATAGGAAAAATTTAAAAAAGAGAATTGTGCCATACAAAAAAAAGATTACTCTTTTTTTTATTAATTGATTGATATTTCTAGATTACAGATCAATTAATCAACTTGTCTAAATTACAAATTGAATTAGTTTGTCTAACTAAAGATTAAAAACTTGCTTAGTATAAATTGTAGATCAATTGAAAGATTTGATAATCGTTTGGTAATCGATGGATCAACTGATCTTGCTAGATGCTAGATAATGTGAATAATCGATCAATTTATATAGATACGGGATCTACTGATTAATTTAATTAGATACGAGATTAACCAATCGATATATTTAGATACGAGATCAACTTATTGATTTATTAAGATACGAGATCAAATGATCGATATATTTAGATACGAGATCAAATGATCGATTTATTTAGATATGAGATCAACTGATCGATTCATTTAGATACGAGATCAAATGATCGATTTATTTAAAAACGAGATCAACTGATCGATTTATTTAGATATGAGATTAGCTGATCGATTTATTTAGACACGAGATCAAATGATCGATTTATTTAGATACGAGATCAACTGATCGATTTATTTAGATATGAGATCAAATGATCAATTTATTTAGATACGAGATCAAATGATCGATTTATTTAGATACAAGATCAAATGATCGATATATTTAGATACGAGATGAAATGATCGATTTATTTAGATATGAGATCAACTGATCGATTTATTTAGATACGAGATCAAATGATCGATTTATTTAAAAACGAGATCAAATGATCAATTTATTTAGATACGAGATCAATTGATCAATTTATTTAGATACGAGATCAAATGATCGATTTATTTAGATACGAGATCAAATGATCGCTTTATGGACTGATTTTGCATCAACACACAACCCCACCCCCAGGTAAGAACTCACATCTTATTATTTAATTTGACATCTTTGCTGTTTCTATTCCTGTCTATTTCTGTTTCTATTTCTGTTCTCATTTTCTATTTCTGTTTCTATTCCTGTTTCTATTTCTGTTTATATTCTTGTTTCTATTCCTGTCTATTTCTGTTTCTATTCCTGTTCTATTCATGGTCTATTCCTGCTTTTTTCCTGTTCTATCCCTGTTCTATTCCGGTTCTATTCCTGTTTCTATTCCGGTTTCTATTCCTTTCTATTCCTGTTCTATTCCTGTTTCTATTTCTGTTTATTCCTGTTTCTATTCCTGTCTATTTCTGTTTCTATTCCTGTTCTATTCATGTTCTATTTCTGTTTTTATTCCTGTTTCTATTCCTGTATATTTCTGTTTCTATTCCTGTTCTATTCCGATTCTTTTCCTGTTTCTATTCCTGTTTCTATTCCTTTCTGTTCCTGTTCTATTCCTGTTAGATTCCTGCTTCTTTCCTGTTCTTTTCCTGTTCTATTCCTGTTTTATTTCTGCTTTTTTCCTGTTCTATTCCTGTTCTATTCCTGTTTCAATTCTTGCTATATTCTGTTTCTATTCCTGTTTCTTTTCCTGTTTCTATTCCTGTTTCAATTCCTGTGCTATTCCTGTTCTATTCCTCTTCCAATTCCTGTTTCTATTTTCTGTTTCTATTATTGTTCCAACTCTTGTTTCTATTCATGTTTCCATTCCTGATTCTATTCCTGTTTTTGTACCTGTTTTATTCCTGTTTCTATTTCTGTTCTATTCCTGTTTCAATTCCTGTTTCTATTCCTGTTTTTAATCCTGTTTCTATTTCTGTATCTATTCCTGTTTATATTTCTGTCCTATATCTGTTTCGACTCTTTATCTATTCTTGTTCTATTCCTGTTCCAATTCCTGTTTCTATTCCTGTTTTTATTTCTGGGATCTCTTCTGCTTTTCCTATTTTTTCATCTGCATTTTTATTCTTTTCTTCTGCTTGCTCTTCTTTTTATTATTTTAAAGTGCCTTTTTTGTCTCAATTAAGAAGTATGCATTTCGTGAATATATTTTATATGAATATATTTATATTATATTTAAGATTTTATTTTATTTTTATATATTTGATATTTTGAATATATTCAGAACAGAGAAATGGATTAAGTTCAAGAGCAGTAAACCCCAGTTTTATGAGATTAGCAGGTATACTTCACCACTGTTTTCAATATATACATATATATATATACTTGTAGTTCAATATTCAATATTCAACATTCAATATTTAAAATTCAAAATTCAAAATTCATGAATATTCAACATTCAATATTCAATTTTCAATATTCAATATTCATTAATCAATATTCTATCTTTAAATCAATATATTAATATTAATACATAGTATTTAATTACACCAGAGATTAAAATGTTGAGATCGCATATATAACTTAAAAGTATAAAATTTTAAATTAATTAAAATTAAACATTTCAATTTATTAAAATCATTCTGGGACGATTGTACAGGAAGTTTTAATTAAGCTTGAAAACTTTCCTTTAGTTGGACCTGCAGTTGCAGAAAATGCTTGTCCCCCCCCCCCCCGTTTTAATTTGTTTCACATAATTTCTCATTAAGCCTATAATAATCATGATACTGGGTTTCCAGCAGTGGTATTTACAACAATGTCTGTATATATGATTAGTGAGAGCTGTATGAAGTATCCTGGAGATCATAAAGCAAGGATGGAGTATTGGGCGAACATTTGGGAGAATATACCAGCTTCTTATAGGAATTCATTCATTACAAAATAAAAAAAACCATTTTTAATGATAAGTTTAAATTTCTCAACCTGTTCCTAAACAACAAAGGAATTGACTCTTTGCCACAAACTCTGATTTTCTAATCCCAATATCTTAGGAACCAAATGTCGTAAACCTTTTTATATTTTAAACTTATATTTTGTGATCTAACAAAAGTCATAGTTTGAAATTTCAAAGGTTTAGGACGTTGGAATCCAAAGATATAGGGATTAGAAAATCAGAGTTTGTTGCAAAGAGTCAATTCCTTTGTTTATATGAAGAATTTTTGTTGCGTTTTTCGTCCATGTTGTCATAAAATGGCAGCTCCAGAATTATTCATTCTAGCAAACCGTTTATTACCACCTCAGCTATGAAGTAGGTTTTAAAAACAAAGGCACCTAAGGTTTTATCAGATTCTAAAAGTAGACTATGTCTAACCCTAGCTTGCAGATTTTCCGAAATTCCTGTCGAGCCCTTTTGGGGAAAACTTTGTTGTGTAGTTTAAACTGAAAAAAATCGTTTCACTCCAAAGTTTTCTGGAGTATATTAGACAATCCTAATTAAGCTTTTCTACTTAACTATTATCATCATATAATAAATTCAAAAAATAAACAATGTAGATTATTTAACAAATCAGAGGAAAATAATATTTTACAAGGTTTAAACCTCAAATAATAAAAATGTTGGTTGAATAAATCTAGTTTTCTCATGGACAGCCGTACGCGTAGTACATTTGAATTTCCGAGCCGGGTCAACCTTTCCGGTCCCAGGTACTGTACCTAGCTCTATGGACAGGACTAGCCGGTGCAACAAGGTTGACGCGGTCAGACTATGCTTCATATAGGTTGAATTTACTTTTACTGAAGGGGCAGAGGTGCGTGTTCTTCTATTATCGTCTATAGAGGCTTAAATGTGACAGATTCAGACACTTTTTATAAAACACCTTAAAATCAAGGTATTTATTAAATACCTTAAAATCAAGGTATTTATGAATAATCTCACGAAAACTTTTGAGTTACCCGCGTTTTTCAGTCTAAACTACACAGCAAAGTTTAAACGGAATTTTCTCAAAAAGGGCTCAACAGGGATTTCTAAAAATCTACATTTTAGGTCTAGACATAGTCTACTTTCAGAATCTGTAAAAACCTCAGGTGTCTCTCTTTGTCAAACCTACTTCATAGCTGAGGTGAATGGTGCGTGTTTTTTAAAGAGCGAATTTTCGGTCTTCTTCTGTAGCAATTATAAATCGTTTTTATGAATATTGTTTGGTATAATACTGCATTCTCAGTTGAACTGCTATACCTAGCAAAGCTTTTTTTCAAGATGATATATACTCATTGGTATTTATTTTTCTTTTATTGTTTTCTTTTGTATCCACGAAAATATCGCAAGGATTAAAGACTAAGGAACCTATTACCATGTTTATTGGGACAAATGTAGAAGAAACAAATAAATGAATTTGATTTTTAGAAAAATGTCGTCTCCGACTTGGACTAGATATCCTCATAACAGGTTTGGGCAGTTTTAATACTTGAATAAGTCATCTTTTGTGATGTTTCTGTTTTGAAAATGTTAACTAGATATAGAAAGCTTAAAGGGACTGTAAGCGAAATTTCAAATGAGTTTTCATGCAAAGATGGCAAAGCCCGATTTACAATGGTACCCTTAACAGTTGTGTCTGTTTAAGTATTAATTAGATATTAAAATTTACAATTTTGTGGTTTCTTTACAAAAGTGACATAAAGGACTTATCAGAATTAAACACTTTTAATCGCCAATATATATCTTCAACATTATTGATAAAAAAAGGTTTCAAGTGTAAAAGCTGTTCTGAATTTCCATCTTTGAATGAAGGGAAACTGAAAATTAAGCTTACGATCCCTTTACCATGGGAGATTACTTAATTTTAAAATATTTAAAACCAAATGTTACAAATTTTGTAGTTTTTAGTCATTAGTCAGTAAAGATTTTAGTGTCAAGAAGCATGTTCTCAATAAAAGCAGTGGCGCAACTGGCACTTTTGTGAGGGGGGGGGGGGCAAATAACATTTTATGGTGCTGGGGTGGGGTACCTAGGGAGCTATCCCCCTGTCGAAAATAAAAAAAAAACGCTGCAATTTCAGGATTTGAAGTAAAAAACAGCATTTTTAATTGTTGGAGGGTTGGCTCAGTACCTCAATAATATACCAAATGCTTTTAATATCCATGGCTTGTTCTATGTTAAAAAAAATATACTTCCAATAGCTTTAAAATGAACATTAGTAAATTAAATGTGTGCGCGAAGTGCCAAAAATTTGGTTCTTCTGGTGTCTTTTCATGTATTTCTTAGTTTCTGTTAGTCCCTGGCTTAGTCATTTTCACTATGTATATGAAGTCCCTTAAACGTAGGTCTGTGCAGTCCTAAGTATTAAGTTACAGCTCCTAGGACTTGACTTTACATTTCGTCTGGCCATAAGCCATAATAGGCTTTTCGATCGAAGTCCCTCTGTCCTTGTTTGCCTGTAAGGGGCTTAACATGTTTTCCTCTTATAGTCTGCAAAAGTCCTAATAGTCTGATATAAACCTTATCCTATTTCTTCTTATTCTTCTTAAATTGTCAGGTTTTGTTTAACCTCAAATGTTTTGTAATACTCATGAGAAGTAACATATAAACATATAAATTAAGAATGACTGACTTTCTTTAAGGCGATAAAAGAGAAAATAGTTCAAAATTCTATTAGAATTGATGCGCGAAGCGCCAAAGAAAAATGTTGGTATTTTTTCTTCATTGACAAAATTTGATAAAAATATATTACTTTTCCTTTCAGTTCATTGCACATCTGGCCATACTTTCTTTTGCGTTTTAAAATACATCTTGGTCTCAAAATACATTAAAAAACTAAATTTAAAACTACAATATAAAATTACGATTAAAATTTTTTTTTTCAGGTTTCCTGTTGATGTAGAATAATGGATTTATGAATGCATCAAAATGATTTAAACACAATTGTATATATTCTAACTTTTCTACACAACAAATTCTTGAAAGCACAAATGGCATTATTTGATAGACTACCTTGTTATTTTTCTTTTCAGAGATTAAAAATATTTGGAAATAACTTTTAAGAATGTTGGTTTCTGAAAATTTTAAATCTTTTCCAACCCTTCACCATAAACCTTTCAAATACTTTACATTGAATTTCTGGTTCCAGAATTCCATACATTGAATATTCAATCCATACAATCAAGCTTACAGGGGTTCAGGGGGGATATGCATCTAAGCCCCCTAGAAAACTGTAAAATGTGATTTCCATTGGATGTCGAAAATGTAAAAAAATATGAGTTAACTTAAAACCACTGTACACTGTTTACTGTACAGTGTACTTGTACAGTGTACAGTGTACACTGTACAGTTTACAGTGTACACTGTACAGTTTACAGTGTACACTCTACACTCTACACTCTACACTCTACACTGTACACGGTACACTGTAAACTGTACACTGTACAGATCTATCCACACAGGCTGAGACTTTAATGGCGACATAACATAGGGTTACTTAGTTTTACATTTTGATTGCTTGGTTCAAGTTAAAAGACCTTTGAATTTTTGTATATTTTTAATATATTATTATATTTTTAATATATTATTTTATTTTTAATATATTAATATATTTTTGCGATTTTATTACAATCAGTAATTGTAATCATTGTCTTCCAAACCGCTTCTTGTTGGGACTGATTTTTTCATAAAATTAAACACATTCCTTAACTCTGTTCTGCCATCTTTTATAGATTAATAATTTTGCATAACTTTGCATTATATTTACATTTGTGTATTGTGCAGTGTGCAGTGTATGCCGTAGCTATTTATTTCAATTTACTTAAATTTTTAAAATTGCATTTACAAAAGAAACTTTTTAAATTTTTGTACATATGAAATATATTTGTTATCAAAATTTAATTTTAATAAAGTTAATTTGAACTTATATTTGAGAATCTTATAAATCATTTTCTCAGTGATTAATGTTGATATACATAATTTAAAAAAAAAATAATTGATTACTCGCCACAAATTTGTTTTTTTTTATCCTTTTATCTTTGCAACATGATTCATAGTTTGACACATATGAGATCTATAATATCAGGTTGCAATCATATTTGGATTAGAAAATTGTAATTTATTACGAGGGCTCAGTTTCATTGTCTCTAATTAGTCAACCCCTTTAATGCTATTTTTGCTAATCACATAAATGAGTTATATAGTTTTGGAAAAAGAAATTCTTTTTCTTTTATAACGCTTATCTTTTCTCTTTTTATATATCTTTAATCAGGAGTGGAATTCTGAAACAAAACTAGCAAAACTATATTATTAAGCATTACATTAAAATTTAATTGAATCAATATTGCCGAATATGACGGTTTTCCAATATTCCACAATCTGGTAACATAACTTTTTAAGTGCTTTCGAATTTCCAAATTCACTTAATTAAAATCAAGGCAAAATTTTCCTTTTTAATTAAATAGATAATTCAGGGTTCAAACAAGTTAAATAAAAGGGATAAAAGTAAATATAATATTAAAATGTTTAAAGAATTATGAAGATATATCAGACTAGATCGGGAACTAATTTTACATGAGTCGGAACTGACTATAAAGCAAGGAACATATAGCAATGAACATTTCCTCAATACGCCCCTTTTTTAACCTATTCCAAACTTCCAACTCCTCCAAAATATCTATATTTCGACGTCAACAGAGTTCATTGAAAACAACCAAGAAATAAAGAAAATAAAAAGGTACAACAAAAATGCGTGCTGAGCCTGAATTATTGCTGATTGCTGGTAGGCCTAGATTTTAGATTTAGCTTAGAATACAATTGCAGAAACCTTTGCCCACCCGGGCCCCTTCCTCCCTTCCCTTCTGATTTTAAACCAATCTGATCAGCTGTAATGAGTCAGCATTCAGCTGATAACTGCAATAAGGAAAGCGAAATATAAAACCAAGACATGCCAAGTATGCAAAATAAAACACATATATGAGTGAAGTATGCAGTACTGCATGAAGTGAAAAATTGAAGCATAGGAAAAACTTTGGAAAACAACAGTGTAGTGCAGTAAACGGGGTGTGGGCAGACGTGTAAACACCCTGTTTAATTGCTTTGAACATCATCTATTTATGTAATACATGTTGTTAAAAATTAAAATTTGAAAAAAAATATTAAAAATGTTTGCTATAAAAGTCAAATTATTCAACTTAAAATTTTAAAACCTTGCTAAGAACATTACCGTGGTATTCTGGTTGATAAAAATGACTCCAGTCAGAATTGATAGGCCAAATAGCCCTTTTACTGAAGAGTTGAATATCTGGATTATCCCTGGACTATGAAAAACTTTGGGCTGAGCTTCAGGTTCGCCAAGCTTTCAGGTTACAACCTACTACTGATGAAGAGCTTAAAATGATTTTGAAAGAGTTTTCTGTTTCCCTGCAGCTTGCAGAAATCAGAAAGTGTTTCAGCCACATGAGAGATCGCGCCAGAGCCTGTATATCTCTAGATAGAGCCTGTTTCGAGTCACAGCTAAACCAACTTAGAAAAAATCATATGAATGGCGACTTTGCTTAAAAAGTAAATGTCCCGTTCTAATAATATATTTATTGAAAGCTTGTCAGGTCGCTTTAATTAAAATATGAGTAAATCAAAAATATAAATTGTAGAGAAACACCCTGTCTATATATATTATATTATATTATTATATATATTTAGGAATTATAATACTAGCTTACTGTTTAAGATTATAACAAAGGACAAGTTTATTTGAACAAAATGACTAGATCTATCAAAAATAAGAATACCAATTAAAATTAATGATATACGTGAACAATGAGAAGAATTTACTAAAAAAATGATATTTTTTGTAAAAGTATTTTTTTATATATATGTGCTTAAACATTTATGTTTGTATTCCAGGATATATAATTTAAACAAAAACATTTTCTTTATATGTGCTGAAACATTTATGTTTGTATTTGGATTTATAATTTAAACAAAAATATTTTCTTTATATGTGCTTTAACATTTATGTTTGTATTCCCGGATATATAATTTAAACAAAAACATTTTCTTAATATGTGCTTAAACATTTATGTTTGTATTCCCGGATATATAATTTAAATAAAAACATTTTCTTAATATGTGCTTAAACATTTATGTTTGTATTCCCGGATATATAATTTAAATAAAAACATTTTCTTAATATGTGCTTAAACATTTATGTTTGT